TCACTCAAGAAGATGTTGTTTATACCTTAGTACAAACTATATTAAAACATTTTGTTGGATCCAGTTTCCAAAGCCCTGATAAAAGTAAGGTGCTTTTAATGAATTTAAGGTGCCCCACCTTAACACATTTTAGGTGGTATAAAGATATATTTTTAGCTAAAGTTTTGTTAAGACCAGATACTATTAATGAATTTTAGAAAGAAAAATTTATTACAGGCTTACCCAGCTTATTTGCTGAAAAAATAAGTATTTGCTTAAAGTAAAAACATGGAGGATTTAAAACCCCTTATGAACATTATATTTATGGAGAACTAGTTTTTGAATGTATTTCGGAAGGCTTAGCCCTCTGTAATGATTTAAATCTTAAAGCTCAACTTAAGAGACAAAAATTAACCAGCAGAAAAGAACTTGAAGAATTTTGTAATCAATTTGCTTATAATCTTGATATCCCAAAAAGATAAGGTTTCTAAAAAACTTTACACTAAGCCTTATAAAAAAGGAAGAAAATTCTATAAAAAGAACTATGCTAAGGAACAAGAGAAAACTAACAAACTCACTAAAAGGATCAAAGAAAAGGACAAGAAACCTTTTCTTAAATGGTTTAAGTGCGGAAAGGAAGGTCATATTGCTTCCAAATGTTCAACTAAACAACAAATAAATGAATTAATTAATTATGAAGACCTTAAAGAAAAAATTTTTAAAATTGTTTTAAACTTAGAAGTGAGTTCGAGGATAATTTTGAAAACTACAATATTAATGAAATTAGTGATTCTTCTTTAGAAACCGAATCTTTAGAATAGAATAAAGCTTGTTCTTCAGATTGTAAAGCAGAGAATGACTATTATAAAGCTATTTTAGTTATGAATGGATTAAATATAAATACTTTGACTAAGTCACAAAATTTTATTCTTGATCTTATTGATAAAATTCAGGATCCAACATCTAAAAGAAAAGCTATTGAACAATATTTAGAGATAAATCCAGAAGAAAAGATGCCTAATCTGTATCAACCATATTCATTAAAGGAAGTTCTTAATAGAAATGAAAAGGATATAAGTAATGACCCACTCCAAATAAAAGAAGTTTTGCCTACTATGGTTCAAGATCTAAAGAAAGAAATCAGTAAAGTCAAGGAAGACATAAAAGTCATAAAGGCTAGACTTTTAGCCTTAGAAAAAATACCACTTGAAGAAAGTGACATTCAAGATAATAAAGCATTACAGTCTAACTCTCCAAATAATGAATACATAAATGTATTAGAAAAAATAACTTATTAGAAATAGTATGTTAAAATTATCTTAGTTATAAATTCTGAATTTACTATTGAAACTATTGCTCTAATTGACAGTGGAGCAGNTAGTATGTTAAAATTACCTTAGTTATAAATTCTGAATTTACTATTGAAACTATTGCTCTAATTGACAGTGGAGCAGATATGAATTGCATAAAGGCAGGATTAATTCCGACTAAATATTTTGAAAAAATCACTCGGTCAGTAAGTGTTGTTGATGGTTCAAAATTAAATATAAATTTTAAACTCTAATATTTTTGTATGTAATCAAGGAATTTTCATTCCTACCACTTTTATGTTTATTGATAATTTAAATCAATTAGTGATTTTGGATACACCATTTTTGTCTTTAATCAAACCTATAGAAAGGATTGATTCTAAAAGTATTTTGACTACCATAAATGGTCAATAGATATTATTTGAGTTTATAACTCCACCTAAAAAAAATTGATAAAACAAATAAAAGAAAATCTGATTTATAAAAAAAATTCATTAAATTTTTCATCCTCTTCTAACATATTAAAAAGTGATGTTCATTTTGCAGGAAAAGTCCAAGAAGTTACAGAAATGAGTTATAACTTAGATTCATTCTCTTTGGATCTTATTGTCAAATCACCTGAACTTCTTGACTATTTTTGTGATTATGCAGGAGAAGATATATTTATCTTTTCTTCTACCTGGAATCCTAATAATTGCAAGGTTTTACTTTGGTGTCTCTATTGCAATGCTATGGAAGATCAATCAATTGATCATATACCTATTTTTTTGTTAAGAATTGCAAGATATCAAAAATAATCTTTAAAAACAGGTTTAAAGTTCCATTTTATTCTTGAAATTAATGACTGACATTATGATTGACACTATAAACAATTGTTGGAGACTATAGTCTCAGAAGAATTTTGCCAAGAAATGATAAATAAACTGGGTGGTATAACTGTTAGAACTCAAGTTTTTGCATATAAAACTGTATATTATTATGATGAATATAAAAATATTTTTTATGCATATAGAAGTGCATATTATTTTAATTCATATAAGAATGTTTATTATTTTAATGTATATAAAAATGCTTATTATCCTCCACTCTCTATAAAGACATCATCATATAAAGGTGATATAGATGATAACCTTTCAAAACAACTTAAAATTGTTATATCTTTGTCAAATAAAGTTGACAATTAAGATAAGTTGTCAGGAGATAAATTTCTCTCTACTATTTAAAGATCTTTGACTTTGTCTCCATATATAAAGTTTAATTTTTCATTTTTCTCTAAAATTATTGAAAGGATATATCCTTATCATATTAATGATCCCAGATAAATCAGGGATATTAAGGATCCCAAACAAATCAAGAAATATTTAATTCAATTTTTATAAAATTACCCACTTGACTTTAAAGGTAAAATCATAGCGAAATGTCTTAAAGACATTGATAAAGAAGAAGATAAATGTTCAACTAATAAAGTTTCATCTTCTACATCTCTAGTTCCCTTTACTAGTATAAACACTGGAACTAATTTAAATCCTGTGGAAGTTCTTAAAGAACTAATTAAAAAAGAAAAATCTCATTTAAATCTTGAGCAGCTTAAAGAAGTGGTTACGGAGGAATTTGACTTTCAAATCATGTCTACTTTTGGCATGAGCAAAACAGAAAAGACGCATCCCGTTAACCCTCCTACAGTTGCTATAAAAGGCAAAGGGAAAAATAAAGTTGAGGAAGACAATAAGAAATCTCCCACTTCTANATTAAAAAAGAAAAATCTCATTTAAATCTTGAGCAGCTTAAAGAAGCGGTTACGGAGGAATTTGACTTTCAAATCATGTCTACTTTTGGCATGAGCAAAACAGAAAAGACGCATCCCGTTAACCCTCCTACAGTTGCTATAAAAGGCAAAGGGAAAAATAAAGTTGAGGAAGACAATAAGAAATCTCCCACTTCTATTAATTATGACGACGACTTTATAGATTTTCAGGGATATACCCCTCTTAAAGGTAACATTACTATTAATAAATCTTTGCTTAATGAAGATTTAATAAATGAAGATATGGAGATAAATCTTCGTGATGATAGAGATAATGTACTGTCTATTTTATTGATAAACTTGATTTCTCAGATAAAGTCGACCAAGAAAAAGTGACGTAAGCCCTTACGTTACTACGAAGAAGNCCCTCTTAAAGGTAACATTACTATTAATAAATCTTTGCTTAATGAAGATTTAATAAATGACGATATGGAGATAAATCTTCGTGATGATAGAGATAATGTACTGTCTATTTTATTGATAAACTTGATTTCTCAGATAAAGTCGACCAAGAAAAAGTGACGTAAGCCCTTACGTTACTACGAAGAAGTGACGCACGCCCTGACGTCACTATGAAGACTGTGAATAGTGTACAGTATTTATGACGTATGTAATGACGTCATTGTAAATTATTAAAGTTAGAAACAGTATAAAATTGTGAATATTATTTTTTGTTTTAAAATTTGGATTTCATGTTCGGCTCTATATAAAGAGATGAAGGCCTGACTTGTAGAGTATCTCATCTCTACCAACCCCTACACCTTTACCTACTCCTTCCTTCCTTCTCTCCCTCCCTCTTGCACCCNAATATAAAATTGTGAATAGTATTTTTTGTTTTAAAATTCGGATTTCATGTTCGGCTCTATATAAAGAGATGAAGGCCTGACTTGTAGAGTATCTCATCTCTACCAACCCCTACACCTTTACCTACTCCTTCCTTCCTTCTCTCCCTCCCTCTTGCACCCTCGGTGAACCCTCTTCTCTTGTATAAACCCTCCATCTTCCACCTTCCACACTACTACTGTAAGTTTACCTTGTAAATAAAGTTTTATATATTAATAAAAGTTTCTCTTCTATTTTGTAGACTTCACGATCCTCCCCCTTGTTTATATATATATATATATGGGTATATATATATTTTTTAAAGTTTGGTTTATTGAAATTTTTTTTTATGAATTTGTCAATCTAAAAATAATTTTTTNCGTCCCTCTTGCACCCTCGGTGAACCCTCTTCTCTTGTATAAACCCTCCATCTTCCACCTTCCACACTACTATTGTAAGTTTACCTTGTAAATAAAGTTTTATATATTAATAAAAGTTTCTCTTCTATTTTGTAGACTTCACGATCCTCCCCCTTGTTTATATATATATATATATGGGTATATATATATTTTTTAAAGTTTGGTTTATTGAAATTTTTTTTTATGAATTTGTCAATCTAAAAATAATTTTTTAAATTTTTTTATTAATGTTTGAATTACTGTTCAAATATATATTTAGGCTGTCCAAACAGGTTTTACTATTTTTTATATTGTAAAATTATTTTTGAAATCATTTAACTAAACAAGTTTTTTATCTAAAAAAATATCAAAACCACTTTCTTAAAACTCTTCTCAANTAAAATTTTTTTATTAATGTTTGAATTACTGTTCAAATATATATTTAGGTTGTCCAAACAGGTTTTATTATTTTTTATATTGTAAAATTATTTTTGAAATCATTTATAAAACAAGTTTTTTATCTAAAAAAATATCAAAACCACTTTATTAAAACTCTTCTCAAAAACTGTTTTCGGATATAATTTTTTGAAATGCAAACCAAACTGACCCTCAGTTTTTATTCTTGGTATCTTGATATATTTCAGCCAATGACTTGAGCAAGCTTGATATTTTCTTGATGTTTGCAGAATGCCAAGTGGACAGGAAAAGTTCGTCTGCATTGGAGACCTTGAAGGATGGGGATACTCTAATAGTGACATTCGTGGATACCTTGCAGCTCTATCAATTTTGCAGGTTTGCATTCTTAGCATACAGTCATCATCAAAGAACACACCAAAATAATGTACTGAATAAAGCAAAGCTTTGATAATCTCTATGTGCATGAACGCAGCTCTGTGTTGGTAAAATTTTGGGTCTAGATGTGCACATATTAAACTCATTATACATATAACATCCAGAAAAGCTTATGTTGGTACTATAATTATTTCAATGGCAGGATTGTTACCCGGAGAGGCTAGGCAAATTATTCATAGTCCATGTGCCTTACATATTTATGACAGCATGGAAGGCTGTTTACCCATTTATTGACAGCAAAACCAAAAAAAAGGTATGTTGAAACTCAATAGCTTATTGACATTCACAAGTGTTCTCATTAACCTGGATTTTGGAATGTCAAGAGCAATTTTTTTGTAGCAAAAGGTGATGGCTTGGCCCTTGTAAACACGATGGGGTTGATGCCAGGTGCCATATTTTGTTTTCAAAAAGTGAACATTGAAAAAAAAAATAATAGCAGCCTCACACCCAGAATGTCATATTTTTAGAAACTTGGCTTGTATTTAAAGATATTGTTGCAGGAGATTGGTACCAAAGACTGCAAAGACCAAGCACACATTTTAAGCATACATGCTCCCTCTTGAACTTATTGAGCTTAATTATCAGCAGCAGCCTGTTCGTTTTTGATGTTTACTAATTTTTTGCAGATAATTTTTGTGGAGGACAAAAAACTCAGATCTACTTTGCTGGATGACATTGATGAGAGCCAACTTCCAGATGTATATGGAGGCAAACTACAATTAGTTCCTATTCAAGACTGCTGAGTAGCCAGACCAATACACAGTCCAAAGCCTTTTTCTTACCTTTCTGCCAATAGTTTAGCAGATATCACACATATTAAGGCTGCACTGGTTCCATCATTTGTCTACACTCTTGGCAATCCATTGACTGCTCACAGGGCATTTACCTTCCACATATCCATTGTATTTGTTTTTCTTTTGCACTTGTTTGCTCGTTATCTTTAACGGCTGCTACTAAAAATGACCAGTGTATCAGTATGAGCGTCTGTTGATGCCCCGACAATCCGATTCGGACCAGAAGAAAAGGATCGAGTAATGGCTGCTCCCCACACCCACGTCCAAAGATATTTCGCTTGTATATGCTTCGGCTTGAATCCCAGTATAAATAATGCCAATTGATTGCATTCCCCCTGCTTTGATCGGAAAATGTTAACAAATATTTCTTCAATAATCATGTTGCAGCTATTTAATTCAAAATTCTAAGTGAAATTTTGATGCGTTACGGACAAAATCAAATCATGTAAGCAAATGAGTGCAATCCCCGAAAAATTGCATGCTAGTCCTCTCTCTTTCTCTCTCTCTCTCTCTGACGGGCACACACACACACTCTGCAGTAATTCATAAAAATCAACATATAAGAACAAGCTATATACAGATTGGACACCTCAACTTGGACAAAGAAAATGTCAGTATTTGAAATAGTATATCCTAAAACTGGCGGCAAATGCAAAACCAAGACCCAAAAGAGAGAATATGTTACAATAAGTAAAACTTTCTCAGGTCCTGAGTGAAGAACAAAACAGCAGATCCAGCACTTCCTCTGCAATAACACTACCTCAATACATGCTCACCCAACAATTTGTTCTCATCCAAAAAGATGTAAGGGGGCACCACCAGATTGTAGGGAGCCGGCCCTTTGCGGATTCTACCAGAGATGTCATAGTGGGAGCCATGGCAAGGACAAAACCAACCACCAAAATCACCAGCATTAGGTAAGGGAATGCACCCCAGATGGGTGCATACCCCAACCACCACAAGCCATTCGGGCTTCTTAACCCTGGCAGCAGCCTCCTCTGGGTCACGTAGAGAGTGAATATCAACACTATGAGCCAGCTTGATGTCCTCCTCAGTTCGATGCCAGATGAAAACTGGCTTCCCATGCCACTTTACTGTAACAGTACTGCCAGGTTCAATGCTGGATAGGTCACACTCAAGGGAGGCGAGGGCAAGAACATCTTTACTTGCAAACATGCTCAGAACAAACTTCAGTATCAGGAGACGGATCAAGGACGCAAACACAACCCTGCCTCCAGTCAAGACAAAATCAGCAAATGCGCGCTTGCTAGGGTCACCAGGTGGACAACGCTCATGGTTGTGTTCGTCATATACAATTTTTGGGGTGGGATTTTTAACGGCTGCCAGTGTAGCTGGGAGGCCTGACATTAATCCAATGTTGTGGGTTGGGGCAAGGGAATCAGAGGAAAACCCTGGAACAATTGACCAACCATAAGTAACNCTGTTTCCTATGAAGAACATGTTGTTTTCCTTCTACATTGGCTCTATTGCTTTGTCCTTTGTGTTCCTAACCTTCAAGTCAAGACTGAATACTATAACATTGTCNGTTCGTCATATACAATTTTTGGGGTGGGATTTTTAACGGCTGCCAGTGTAGCTGGGAGGCCTGACATTAATCCAATGTTGTGTGTTGGGGCAAGGGAATCAGAGGAAAACCCTGGAACAATTGACCAACCATAAGTAACAAATCACATGCTATGTTAAATCTTTTCCAATGGCACTATATTACAATGTACATGTGGCAGCTGGTGATTAAAAATAGTGGGTTTGACGAGCGTGCGCACACAGATTTGGTGGGTCTATACACTGGTGACGGGGCAGGGGTAGGCCTTTAGTCTTTACTTGTCGACACTTGTGGGTGATAATAAATAAGACAGTCGTGTTAATGAAAATTAGGTCCAATTAAGGCTGGTAGGTTCAAGGAAGGTCACCGATGGATTTCAAACCACGGTGATTGTGGTTGAATATGTGTTGCTCCAAAATTTGTTGCGATCGACAAAAATGCTTCAATCGACAAGTAGTTCTCAAGCGAATACTTGTGAATGAGTTCTAATGTTGACTTCCTTAGATGAATTCTTAAATCGATAGACATACATAATAACGAATCAATAAAAACACTCTTTTATTAATTCAGTCGAATGTGTTTCAATTATAGAGTGACTGAATTAACAGTTTTTGATTATAGCACTAACTACTTTCCAAAAACTAACTCTAGCACTACTCCTAAATGTCATGATTGTGGGTCTTGTAGAGGGTTTGAGTTGTTCCTCTGCCTCCTTTTTTTCCTATTTTTATAGCCACTTTTTTCAACGATTTCTCCCTTATCGACGGTTAGTTGGCTTTATAACTCCCAGACAATTATTTTGTCTTTTCAAACCAATTTCTTCAGATCTTAACACGTGGCAATCCTTTAATGATTTTAGGTGTGCCAACAAAACATGCATCGAATGCTTTCATGAGTTTGCATTGTATATCCAAACAATGCTCCCCTCATTTAATTGAGTTTGTTCCTTAATCAAGTAAAGTAAATGAACCATCATATCCGTTGTCCTTTCTCATTGTCTACTTAAGATGTCTTTCAATAGTTAATCTGTTCATTTCAAATAAGCAACTGAACAGTCAATAACCGCCAGAAAACTTTCAACAAACTTATTTAAAGGGTTCGATTACTGTAGAAATCCTTATCTGTACTATTCTTCTTTGCCTTACTTCTGATATTCTTCCTTGGCTTGTTCTTAATTTTAAACTTCTCCTTGATCTTTGATGGCATCCAAACGCAAGGCAAGTTGTTCTACTCCAGCTAATTCCCCTCCAAGCATGCCTCCTGCTCTTCAGTTCTCTGCGAGCCTTAGCTATGTTGTTCGGGATTCAATCGACAATCGAATCCTTATCCCCTCTAAAGATCATGGGGCCAATTTCACTTTAGGTTCAACTTTCAAATCCACTATGCTCTTGTTATAGTTTTAATGCTACCCTATTTCTCACAGAGAAGTCTTTAACACTCCATCACTCCCATCTCCAATAGAGGCACTAGGATCAAGGACTCACTCCTTTGAAAACTTGGATAGACCTAGACCAACAATGGTCTGACTAGCTAACACGAATGGAGGCACATTTCTTTGACCAATGGAAAGAACAAAGGATCCATGAACAGATCAAGCTATTTACTTGTCCTTTTTTTATGAATCGCTGGCTTATAGGTGCAACAATTTATTTCTGGTCAAAATCTTGTAATGTCATGCTCCTTTCTCTTGGCATGATGTCTTCTTCCATTCTTGATGTCGTGCACTTAACAGGGCTTCCATCGACTGGTATTGAGGTAACCATAACCTTAAAACCAAATCGCATCTTTGTAGACATACCTACCAATTTTAGCTATTCCAACCATGTCTTTTTCTTATGTAGGCCAAACTCTAGCTCCGTTTCCTATGAAGAACATGTTGTTTTCCTTCTACATTGGCTCTATCGCTTTGTCCTTTGTGTTCCTAACCTTCAAGTCAAGACTGAATACTATAACATTGTCATTTTCCTCGCTGATGGTTACATTCTAGCCTTAGCCCTTTCTTTCTGGCTTTTCCAAGCATGGCTATATGCCTATTTTCTTGAAATTTGGGTCGTCGAGTATCTTCTCTTTCTAAAATTTTGTCCTCTCAATTATGCGCATTACTTCCTTTTGTCGTTAACTTCATCACTGCACAAAGACTTCAACTTCTAATTCAAAGCATTTCATGATCTGGAGTTTACGAGGTACCCTTCCCTTTTCTCACCTTTCTCTAAATGCCTTTACTCCTTTCTTCGCATTCGACCATTTTTTTATGGCTCCGTCGATCCTTTTGATGAGCAAGCCACTTTATTTCATAACTTATGGGAAAACATTCTTCTTCCTCATTACCTTCATGTAGGTGGTGGTATTAGTGGTGGTATGTATGATTCAAAGTATAGTCTCTGCAACTTTGAATCTTNTTTAGGATTTATTTATGAAGGCCTTTTTGATATGTATGAGAGAGGAATTAATGACCTTTGTGGAGGTCCTTTCTGGCTTTTCCAAGCATGGCTATATGCCTATTTTCTTGAAACTTGGGTCGTCGAGTATCTTCTCTTTCTAAAATTTTGTCCTCTCAATTATGCGCATTACTTCCTTGTGTCGTTAACTTCATCACTGCACAAAGACTTCAACTTCTAATTCAAAGCATTTCATGACCTGGAGTTTACGAGGTACCCTTCCCTTTTCTCACCTTTCTCTAAATGCCTTTACTCCTTTCTTCGCATTCGACCATTTTTTTATGGCTCCGTCGATCCTTTTGATGAGCAAGCCACTTTATTTCATAACTTATGGGAAAACATTCTTCTTCCTCATTACCTTCATGTAGGTGGTGGTATTAGTGGTGGTATGTATGATTCAAAGTATAGTCTCTGCAACTTTGAATCTTACTCCCCCAGCCAGATTGCCAGACAACTTGGCTTTAACCAACAGTATCCATGTGCCTTTCATGCATCTTCTTATTGATGAACATGTTAAAAGTAGGGTTGAACTGAGGGACTCTAACACTATTAATCTTATTTCTTCAGCTTACAATAAGGTTTTAACGACTTTTCGCTTCGAGCACTTATATGCGGAACCATCTATATTCTCCCTTTTCGCGAATTGGTGGCAACACACTTCTACCTTGATATTCAATGACTGCATTTTTCAATTCCTTTTTATTTCTTTAATAATTCTACTTCTCAATAATTAATGTTATAAGAATCCCACATGATTGGATAATACCTTTTTAAATATCNACCGAATGCTTTCATGAGTTTGCATTGTATATCCAAACAATGCTCCCCTCATTTAATTGAGTTTGTTCCTTAATCAAGTCAAGTAAATGAACCATCATATCCGTTGTCCTTTCTCATTGTCTACTTAAGATGTCTTTCAATAGTTAATCTGTTCATTTCAAATAAGCAACTGAACAGTCAATAACCGCCAGAAAACTTTCAACAAACTTATTTAAAGGGTTCGATTACTGTAGAAATCCTTATCTGTACTATTCTTCTTTGCCTTACTTCTGATATTCTTCCTTGGCTTGTTCTTAATTTTAAACTTCTCCTTGATCTTTGATGGCATCCAAACGCAAGGCAAGTTGTTCTACTCCAGCTAATTCCCCTCCAAGCATGCCTCCTGCTCTTCAGTTCTCTGCGAGCCTTAGCTATGTTGTTCGGGATTCAATCGACAATCGAATCCTTATCCCCTCTAAAGATCATGGGGCCAATTTCACTTTAGGTTCAACTTTCAAATCCACTATGCTCTTGTTATAGTTTTAATGCTACCCTATTTCTCACAGAGAAGTCTTTAACACTCCATCACTCCCATCTCCAATAGAGGCACTAGGATCAAGGACTCACTCCTTTGAAAACTTGGATAGACCTAGACCAACAATGGTCTGACTAGCTAACACGAATGGAGGCACATTTCTTTGACCAATGGAAAGAACAAAGGATCCATGAACAGATCAAGCTATTTACTTGTCCTTTTTTTATGAATCGCTGGCTTATAGGTGCAACAATTTATTTCTGGTCAAAATCTTGTAATGTCATGCTCCTTTCTCTTGGCATGATGTCTTCTTCCATTCTTGATGTCGTGCACTTAACAGGGCTTCCATCGACTGGTATTGAGGTAACCATAACCTTAAAACCAAATCGCATCTTTGTAGACATACCTACCAATTTTAGCTATTCCAACCATGTCTTTTTCTTATGTAGGCCAAACTCTAGCTCCGTTTCCTATGAAGAACATGTTGTTTTCCTTCTACATTGGCTCTATCGCTTTGTCCTTTGTGTTCCTAACCTTCAAGTCAAGACTGAATACTATAACATTGTCATTTTCCTCGCTGATGGTTACATTCTAGCCTTAGCCCTTTCTTTCTGGCTTTTCCAAGCATGGCTATATGCCTATTTTCTTGAAATTTGGGTCGTCGAGTATCTTCTCTTTCTAAAATTTTGTCCTCTCAATTATGCGCATTACTTCCTTTTGTCGTTAACTTCATCACTGCACAAAGACTTCAACTTCTAATTCAAAGCATTTCATGATCTGGAGTTTACGAGGTACCCTTCCCTTTTCTCACCTTTCTCTAAATGCCTTTACTCCTTTCTTCGCATTCGACCATTTTTTTATGGCTCCGTCGATCCTTTTGATGAGCAAGCCACTTTATTTCATAACTTATGGGAAAACATTCTTCTTCCTCATTACCTTCATGTAGGTGGTGGTATTAGTGGTGGTATGTATGATTCAAAGTATAGTCTCTGCAACTTTGAATCTTACTCCCCCAGCCAGATTGCCAGACAACTTGGCTTTAACCAACAGTATCCATGTGCCTTTCATGCATCTTCTTATTGATGAACATGTTAAAAGTAGGGTTGAACTGAGGGACTCTAACACTATTAATCTTATTTCTTCAGCTTACAATAAGGTTTTAACGACTTTTCGCTTCGAGCACTTATATGCGGAACCATCTATATTCTCCCTTTTCGCGAATTGGTGGCAACACACTTCTACCTTGATATTCAATGACTGCATTTTTCAATTCCTTTTTATTTCTTTAATAATTCTACTTNCGCTTATATGCAGAACCATCTATATTCTCCCTTTTCGCGAATTGGTGGCAACACAATTCTACCTTGATATTCAATGACTGC